TCGGCGCCTGCTAGCCCCCGCCCCCCGCCCGCCGCCGCGGCCCGTCCGCCGCGCCCCCCCGCCCCGAAGCTGCACACACCGAAGCCCCGAAGACCACGCCGCGTCCCCGCTAGCTAAAGTTGAGGCCGAAGCCGATGCCCTTGGAGAGCACGATGGTCCGCAGCCGCACCTCGAAGTAGAGCGTCGCGCCCGGCGGCACGATGGTGCCCGCCCTGTCGCCGGACCGCGGGAAGCCCGTGGACCCGAACGCGAGCGACGCCGGGATCGCGACGCGCCGCACGCCGCCGGGCCGCATGCCGTCGCTGAGCGCGGCCTCGAGGCCCTTGACGATCTTGCCCTCGCCGAGCGTGACCTTGATGGGCTTCTCGAAGCGCGAGAACTCGCGGCCGTCGAAGCCGCCGAGCCACGCGACGTAGTCGATGGTCACGGTGTCGCCGACGGCCGCGACCTTGCCGACGTCGTCGCCGACCTTGACGTCGGTCCACTCGAGGCCGTCGGCGGACTTCTTCGACTCGGCGACGGCGGCGCGCGGCAGCTGCGCGAGCGTTGCGGCCGCCGCCGCGCCGGCGAGCAGCGCGCGCCGCGACGGCGGAGCGGAGCGTCGCACGCGCTGCGATGCCGCCGGCGCCGGCGCGACGGAGAGCAGCGCGCGCCGCGAGGGCGCGACGGACACGCGCGGCGCGTTGGGCACGCGCAGCGCGTCGGCGCACGCAAGCGTCACCGCGATCCACCAGCTCACCCGCCACGCGATCTGCGAGCTCCCCATTTGCATGCTCTCCGCAGCGCGTCAGCTTCATGATGAAGTCACATTGAAGCCACGATAGGTCCAAGGTACAAGTGGGAGGGGAACGGGGATGGCGTCAACCTTCATGATGAAGTCACATTGAAGTCATGATGTCAGGTACAAGAGGGAGGGGAACGGGGAAGGGTCGCGGACGACGCGCGGGAGGTATCGGGCCGCGCGGTCGGCGCCTCGGCGGTCAGGCCGCGGGCTTGTCGAGGAGGCAGATCTGGATCCACACGTGGCGCTTCGCCTCCTCGAGGCTCAGGCGCCGCTCCGGGTCCTTGTGGAGGAGGCCGCTCATGAAGTCGATGCTGCCCGGGCTCAGGCCCTTGGGGTACTTGGGGTCCTCCTTGCAGATCGCCTGGAGCGTCTTCTGCTTCTTGTCGCGGTAGAACGGCGGGTCGCCGACGAGGAGCTCGAACGTGAGCACGCCCAGGGCCCAGATGTCGATGGACTGGTCGTAGGTCTCGTGGCGCGCCATCTCCGGCGAGACGTAGTCGATGGTGCCGCAGAAGCTCGCGCGGCGCATGGACGGCGCGTGGACGGACCAGCCGAAGTCGCAGAGCTTGAGCACGGGGCCGCCGCGGGAGCCGGCGCCGGGCTGGCCGAGGAGGATGTTCTCGGGCTTGATGTCGCGGTGGATGATGTGCTTCGAGTGGAGGTACGCGAGGCCGGACGCGACCTGGACCGCGTAGCCCGCCGTCGTGTCCTCGTCGAAGGACCCGGCCCGCTCGAGCGCGGTGAAGAGCTCGCCGCCGGGCGCGAACTCGAGCACGAGGTAGACGGACCGCGGGCTGCAGAACCAGCCGTAGAGCGCCGAGCACGTTCACGTGCATGAGCCGCGACTGGAT